CAAAAATTTTATAATATTTTAGCAGAATGTGAGTTTATTACTGTTAGTAACATGGACGAACTGTTTTATGCATTTATTATTTGCATAGCTTATGCAGAGAATTATCATCCCAGACTTTTGATTAACAATTCTTTTATGCATAAAATAAAAGAATTGGCATTGTTATTTTTAGGCTTTAAACAACCATCTTTGAATGTACTAGAAACATTTTATACATTATTTAAGGATTATAAAAAATTTTTAAATGCTATCAATATAAAAGGAGAAAATTCAGTTTATGGTATTATAAAAAGAGAAACAGAGGAAAGATTAAAAAATAAGAAGTAATAAACTTAATAAATTTTTAATAATAAATGCCTTTTTAAATGAAAAAAAATTCTGTTAATATAAAATAATTCAAAACTAATAAACATCTACTTAAGCGTCCAGTCTATGAACAAAACATCACGTAATTGAAATCTTTATTAATAATTTTTGAAATATTTCATTTGCTAATTTAAATTTATATTTCTAAAATTGCGTCTTTACATCCTTTAAAAGCGCATAAAAAACAATATTTCTTTGTCTTCTTATAAATAAATGTATCTAGTTTAGTTCTCAGGTTGTCAATTTATCCATTCAAATAAAGTTACATATAGTTGACAATAATAAAAAACCCAATCGAGAAGATACACACCAACTTAAATAAAAGACTATCCCGGGCCCTTACGTATTGTCATGGCATACGACAAATCAAACAAGAGGCTGTCTTCCATACGATATAAATCTCACTAAGGGTCAAATTTGGCATCATAAAAATTCTTGAAATTATTATTGTTTGATAGTAGGATGGGTTTGATTTATCAAAATAATTTGAAAGTGTTTCTGTCAAATATTTTAAATCTGATCTAATTGACAGAACATTATAAACATATCCTTATTCCTGCAGTTACCAACCTTTCTTTACATCTTCTCTAATAATTTCGCCAATTATGTAATATTATGTTAAAGCTTTCATCCGTAGTCTGGTTCTATTTAAAAGCCCTTTCTTTAGATAAATGTCTCTGAGCAAAATCACTATTGCATCTATCTTTGACCAAATTTATGAAAAGGCATACCATAAAATTGTTTTGCACTAATAAATTCAAAAGAAAAATTACAATCCTTACTTTAAGAAAACTTAAAGGCGGGGATACGCCATTTACAAAAATTGTAGTTACTAATGTACAAAGAAAAATATAATTGAATTCAGTTAAAGCCATTGGTTTTAGAGCATAACATGACAAGAAAGAAAGATTGGACTTGCTTTTTTTTAAAAACAAAGAGGTAAAAAAGAAAATAAAAATCTTAAGTCTCAATATAAACAATTTTCTAATAAAGGAAAAGAACTTGAGATCCTCTTGAAGAAGGGGAAATCCAAAATTATGTGCCTTCAGAAAAATTGGGACTTCCATTTTTCCTCTCAGGCTCGAAAAAATATACTACTATTGAAACTATTAGTATTGGAAAGAATAAACCAGGATTTGACGTAACCTTCTCGAAGGTACGTTTCTATGATATTTAAAAAATACTTATTAATGATATGTAGTTTGTTTTTAATATTAGTAATAGTAGTAGAAGTATCCTGTTTATTTTACCTGTTAATCATTACTATACATATTCCCAAAAATTTAGTGCTTTATATTTTTATATTAAAGCATAAGTTTCATCACCGACCTATTAATTCAAATTTTACATCCGAAGCATCCGTGGTTTTAAAATACCAATAATACCTTACCTATTATATACGACATCACAGGATTAAAAACCCTGGGTATGAAAAATGGAGCTTTCAGATGCTTTAAGAAAGGAATCGACTTAAATATATTGCAAACTGTGGTTGAGTTAAAGTCAGTTAACAAATGGATTAAGTATTGGATCATCAATGTCTACATACCAAAAGACAGGAATTTAAAAAAAGAGTTCATTGCCAGACCATTGTCTCTTCTATCTCAAGAGAAATTAAAAAACCACTATAGTTATGGGAGATATGAATATGCAGAATTTATATTTTAAAAAATTAGATGCAGCGGTACAATCAACTGTCTTAAAATACAAAAGCCATAAAGATTCTGAATCTTTAAAGATGGCAAACAATCTTAAGAAAAATAAAAATGTTTTTTAGATTGCTAAAAAATGATAATGAGAAGATTATTATATAAAAATCTTGGGCACATAGTGATCACTTAGTTCTCAAACTAAAACTTATTGTCGACAAGATCTCTGAACAATTAGTTTATGACAAAAAGATGCCTGAAAATCACAAAGCGTTAACAAGCTCAGAATAAAGCTAAGTAATTAGCAACTACAAATGGGTAATCTCCCCGGGATCATAAAACAACATTGTAAACTTAACCCCGGCAAATCAAGACATAATGATTTATCACAAAAAATACAAACCCATATTTACGGTTGTTTTTGTCTACTCTTACAAATCGATGCGACTGTGTGAATTAAGTAGAATTTTTTTGATTTTTTTATAACCCCTATTTATTATGGCTCAGCATTTATCGGTGAAAGAAAAATATGAAATTATTTTATATAATGATGCGCATTCTAAAGCTACTCATACGCAACTTAAAAACATATTTGATATGAGATTTAAGAAGGCTATTTATAAAACTACTATCGGAAAGATTTTAAAACAGAAGGCAATTATTAAAGCTCAATTTTAAATCTTAATTGCCCAAGTGCTAAACGTTTTTCTGTTAGTATGTTTGAAGATATAAAAAATGCACTTGACGTATGGATTGATTTTAGAAATCTAGAAATGATTTAATTTATGCCGATATTTTTAAAATAGGGCTGAAGACTTGCAAATAATTTTGGTATTGAAAATTTAAATCTATCAAAGGAAGCTTTAAGTAGATTTAAAGAAGGAAGAGCCTTAAGTCATTCAAGGTTGTAGCAGAAATGGTTGAGATTAATTTTAGGTCATTAGAATTCTCTATTGAAGAAATTTAATTGGTTCTAAAAGATTATAAAAAAAGACATTTCTAATATGGTATGAATCTGGACTGTTTTTTCGTATAATTTTTGCCAAAAGAATCTTTACTTCGCCTATTAAAGGCTTTAGAAAGCTTTTGACAAGAATTACCTTCGCATTTACTGTGTCTTTAAAAGGGGAAAGGCTAATGCCATTGGTTATAGGAAATACTGAAAGGCCGAGATCTCTTAACAACTTTAATACCCACCGGTATGTAGATTATACACATTTAAAGAAAAGTTGCATGACAAGCCCCATTTTTAGTATTTACCTCAGTAATCTTAATGAGAATATGAAATCAAAAAAATTGCAAAGTATTACTGCTTGTTGACAACTGTCTTGCTCATAAAGTCGCTTTTTTGTATTGTCACATAAAAGTTGTTTCTTTGCCACAAAGCATTATAGGAGTCATTCAACCACTGGATTTAGGAATCATAAGATCTTTCAAATGTAAATTTCTCAAAAAGTTGATTAGGCATTTAAAATACAGGATATATAATTTAAGTATATCTATTTTTGATGCATATAAAAATAATTCAATTAAGGATGCAATTTTATTTTTCTATTTAGCTTGGAATGAAGTTGAACCAAAGACTATTATTTAATGTTTTAAGAAATCTCCTTTGTTTTACAATAAGCCCGCTGAGCATGATTTGGATAATTCTTACATAAAATAAGAATAAATCAATTTACAAGTTGGGCTAGTCCAGAAGTTTACTATTAGGGATATAATTGATTTTCCGAAAGAGAATATAGTTGATTGTAATATTAAAGATGATAGAATTATTGAAATGATTAAAAATAAGCATGTGCGTCTTATCGATGAAGAAAAATAATGTATTAACAGCGAAGTGCATAAATTAACTGAAAACGAGATTGCAGAAACATTAAAACATGGCCAGCGAAACTTTTAAAAACGATATTGATATACCAAAACAAGTTTTAAAATCAATCGAAACCACCAAAAATTATTTACATAAAGAAAATTCTGGCTATAATAATAATGGTGACTTAACAGGATGGATCATAAAAAAAAAGCAAATAAAGTCTAAAATTATTTCATGATTCGTTTTTTAGCATTTTACGATATACGTTTTCTTTTAAAAAACAAATTCTTTAAAATAAAGACTTCTAAAAATTGGGGCAAAATGATCGGCAAATAGAGCCATTTTTTTAAAAACTAAAATTTTAATGTTCAAATGTGTCTCAATTTACCGGGGTTAACTGTATCTCTAACAAAATGATGGGCGACTTTAAAATTGAACGAATTTATATACAGGCAAGTCTGAGCAAATTTAAAGCATAAAATAGGAAAAGCACAACAAAACTATTATTTCGATAAATCCGAAGGAAATAATGTACTTATGGTGTTCTAGAATATAAAGATGGTTAAAAAGATTTGTCGGTAATGACTATGAAAATGGTGATATCAGACTTATTGCAACAAAAATAATTGATGTACTACGAAGTAGAAGAATTCTGAACATCTCAGTAGCCGCATCATTGGCAAATAAGTGTGACATAAAAGATTCACAAATCAAATATGTCATACAGAAAGTCAACAATCGAAAGATTAGAATATATACTAGATTAAGATGTAATCTAGTCAAGTAATCATCACGCATGGCAACTTCTAACAGAATTCCAGTGGTTTATAGAAGTAAACGTTTCCTGTATGATGGACCACTAGAAGATTTATAACATTATTTGATAAAATGTACTCTCTCAGGTGAGATCAAAAACTAATGCGCAGAGAAGTTGCGGGCCTTACATAGAAGTTTTACCTATCAAGAGAAAATAAAAAAATAGGGGTAAAAAATTATAAATTAAATGATTAATTTAAAAAACACTTTAGAACTACTACAAATATACTCGAAACTTCTTCAATACTCCTACCTAAAATATATCTTCATTAAAAAGTATGCTGGGTTGTCCAGTCATCAATGCTCTTCCTATGAACGCCGTTTTTTTTTCTCATCATTGCTTTCATATGACCCCAAAAGCCTTCTATATTTTTGATATGGGTGCCATCATTTGCTTTAAATCCAATCGAATTGTATAGAATATTGTGCCTATAATTAAAAATTCCTTGAGACAGCTGGATACGAGGCATGGCCACCAATATATAGTATACTTTCTTTTTAATATAACTGTGTATTGCTTCCATCAGTGGAGCAATAGTTCTATCTATCACACGAACAAAAAAAAAGTTGCACTTGTTTGTTCTATCTATCCTTCCTACAATCCATATAGCATCTCTTGTATCGTCAAGGCTTGTAGGATTGCTTATGATTTTTTGGCGATACAGACATTTTTATCTACCTCAACTATAATACCGGCACCGCCAAGTAAAGCGGGATTTTCTTCCAAATATTCGTTATAGTATACAAAAGGCAAGAATTTATATTTTGCAATTGTTGCATTTAAAAAGAAAAAAGTTGTCACAGTTTGAAATAGCTTACGTCTAAGATAAGACAATAAATTAGATGTAAAACCTTGGGCAATGGTATGTCAGCCTGAAACAACGAGTGTCTTTTTTGAAAACCTTTTCTAGGACATCTATATACTAGAAGTTTAGGAGTACCATTTACAGGCAAAAAACTACACCTTGTATTGCAATTTGTACATGCAACACGCTTTAGGAAATAATACTCTTTTCAAAAAGAAAATCCTTTTATTTAATTTGGCGATATCTGTAAACATGGGATCATCAATTCCTATCCGCATAAGGGTAAAAATTAACAAAAATTTTAAATTGTTTTTCACTCTAATAAAAATTATTTGAAACACAAACACAGTTCACTGGTATTGTTTTTTTATTCCTAAAGTAATTACATATCGGATATTAAATATAAATTAACTTCAACAGATTTTAGAAAAAAATGTAAAAATAAAAAACAAAATGGTTTTTATAAGAGCTTTTTAAAATTAAAAATTGACTCTACAACTGTGGTATATATTCACATGTAAAGAAATTTCTTTATTAATCCTCAAAAAATTATGAATTTTCTAGAAAAAAAATTATTATTAAAATAAATTTTTATTCTTCACCCCAAGAAAAATGGAAGAATTAGAAAAGCATCCAAATAAAAATTTCCGTAACACTAATCGTAAAAACGAAATTAGTAATATAGGCCACAGAGAGCCTTCAATAAATAACTTACTTAAACTTTACTTTAAACAGGGATTGCTTCCTTTTAATAACGGCAACAACCACAGAGAAATTTGGGATCTGTTTATCTTTAGAAGTTTCTTACCAATCATCCAGGTTACTATTTTTTTGTTTCAAATAATTTTTTAACCCTTATTTTTATTATTGAAAAAAAGGTGTGCAAACTTCTAAAGAAGACCCGTTTTATGCTATCAAGAATTTATGTTATTTACTTTCACTAAATAAAACTGTAGAAATACGGGCAAGCGCTTAAAAACAAGGCAGTTCTTCAGTTGGGGCGCTTCCGTGATCAAGCTCTTGTGGCTTGAAGGAGGTATTTGTTTGTTAGTCCTGTTTCGGTGACAAGCCTTGTATTCCGAACCACTTGGACTGTTGAAAGAAGAGTAGTTTGAACTAAACATATTTATTTATATATTCTTTTTTATAGTTTTAGTAGCCAATGGAACGTGTTTTAATGATATGTCTGATTAAAGGCCTAAATATTTTTGCTATTATAAATATGTTGATACTTCTACGAAAAGTTTTCACTCGTTGGTTCATGTGGTAATTAATACCACAAAAACGTTTATTTTTATACATCCCAAAAAAGATATATTAATTACGCAAAACGTATATTATAAATCGTTTTTGTTTTATAAATTAAAATTTTTATTGTTAAAATGAGTTTTGATATTTTGTTTTATTATATAAATATAAAGTTTTGAAATTAGTAACGTATTATATATATGTTTAATAATACTTGATAAGATATTAAATATAAGAAGCTCTCTAAATAAATATTTCACCATCATTTTATATAAACTTCTAAAAATTTATAAGATTGAAAAGTTTATAATTGTATTATTTGAAAGAAATCCTGCCTTACAAATATTGTACAATATCATGTGGTTTTCAACCCATGTTCGTTGTTCATTTCTATTTTAAACATAATAATTTAATGTTAAGTAAAATTTCTTCTTTATACATATTAAACAATGTTTACGAATACTTAATAATTCGGCCGTCTCTTTTCAGCACCTATGTAAATAAACTCTTGTACTCCTGAAATAATTTCTTCAATTTCAACTCATCTCCAAGCTATCAAAGGCATGCTTTCTAAAGTCAATTTTAGCACTCTGGACCGAACATAAGTCACAATATGGTTGTCTATATCAATTTCTTTCCTGTATTGCTCATTATAATTCGTTACAATATCTTCCCAAGTCATCATGTAGGGGATATCTTTCGTTTTATAGCCATATAGGGCTTTACAATAATTAGCTAATACTCTTCATATTTATTTCTTTTCTCGACTTCGACAGTTTTTAAATAATTAAAGCTTGTAATTTCTATTTCAACTATGACTAACACTTTCTTAATTTTATTCACTATGAATATGTCAAGTTTGTTTTATTTAATTTTAATGCCTGTAAGTATTCTTGTATCTGCCCAAATTTTTACTTTCCCACTAATTTGTAATCCTGTATGGGATAATTTCTATTTTCCTTGATTTAACTAAATTGTATTTAATACATAATGAAAGATGTATACATCTAAAGGCCTCATTATGTCTTCTCATGTAATCGTGTGTAACATTCGATCACACTTTATTGTAAAAAATAATCTTTTTTTAACCCCTATTGAATTATAAAAGAATGCACTCAAAAGAGAAACGTTTCAAGACTGTCAAAACAATCCACTTTTTGATAACAAAAGCACTTTTAAAACTTATTTTAAATTCGTGATCCTGTCTAATGGTTACGATACATTATAACGTTTTTCATCATAATTGACTTATGACAATACTTCCTGCCAATCTTTGCTTGTAAAAAAAATTTTATTGTTAAAATTATATTTAATTAACTTTTTTAATTAAAAGAGGCTAGATGTTACAGCCCGAATTGAAGCTTACATCCAATCGGTGACATTTAAGAAGACTATTGGGAGTATCTCGTTGGAGTACCGAAGAAGAGATGACATAAATGTACCAAAGAATGGAGAAGAGCTGAAGCTATCACCAAATTTGTTCAGTGGTTTCACTTAAGCAATAAGTCAAATATAAAAGAAAATACTATCCTGCAGCTAAATAATTTAATACTTTATTTTTTTACATTAAAAAATAGTGCCAATAACTATTTTGCAAACTACAAGCAACAAAATTATATGTTAATTACTAAAATTTACTTATCAACTCTTTCAATTTCGTAATATTTGTATTATAATGTTTTAATTTTTTTATAAACATTTGCATGTTGCACAAAATCTGCGATAATATTTGTTCAACTTTCGAATCAAAAAACATAGGATTTATACGTTTTTGAATAATTTGCTGCAATAAATTTTTGAATTCGTCAAATTTAAATTTTAAAATCATTCTTTTGATAATATTTATAATTAATGTTAAATCTCCAATAAAATCACATTGTTTGAATTTTTGTACATAAACATAGCTTTTAGAGTTATTAATAAACTGCGCAACTTCTTTAAGAAATTCAACCCATTCACAAAGTAGCTTTTTAGTATTTTCTGGCAAATAAAGAGTTTCAATGTCTCTCATAAGAGGTGTAAAAGTTACAGTTGCAAAAGTATTAAACCATTTAAGATGATTAGATATTTTTTCACGAATTTTACGATGTTTAGAATTTACAGTCAAGTTGGGATAAGTTTGACATTTGTTTGATTGTTTTTTTATATCAACAAAAAACTTATCCTTAAGCGCTTGTAATTCTTTTTTATTTTTATTTAAAATATCAAAAAGCACTGAATTCGAACATTTGGGTGAAAAGCTCTTAGAGGTATTTTTATCTAGCTTAAAATCTGTATTTCTTCTTTCTTGTTCTTTTGTATCATTTGGATTCAAATCGTCATTATTAAAAAATTTATTATTATTAATATTATTATATTCGCCAAATTCTTTTTTACGTTCGCCAGCATAGTTGTCCGAAGCATAATGTATTAAATCGAAATCAACTGACTTGTTATTATTATTATGTTCGAAATCAAACTGTTGAAAAATAATTTTTTTATCATCATACTCACTAGGCTCCCAATTAATGTATCTATCAATGTCAATATCTTTAAACAAATCATTTTCGATAACTATGTCGTCATGTTTCTTGTTATTGGGTCCTATAAACTTATCAGTACAACTTGGTATTAATTGTTTACTCAAAGATTCATCTTCTTGATTTGTTAATATGCTATTTGCTTGCTTAGGTAAACTTAAATCACAAAACATGTTAGATTGCGTAGCAAAATTATTATTCTTTGTCATAGACAATTTTTTTTTAGTTATGTCTGTAGCGCTTAAAATATCATTGCAGTATTGGGGAATATCTTTGCCTTTATTTTTAAATATTTGGTTTGCACTTATCTTCGTTAAACAATCCCGATCAAAAGAAATTGCGGATTCTGTGCTTTGAGAAGGCTCCTTTTTATCTTTATTAAGCAATATAAAAAAATTATTTTTTTTATAAGTATTTTGCTCTTGTTTTTCATATCTACTATCACTGTATAAACAGAATTTATTAGTACTTTGATTACGTTTAGAGTCTGCTTGATATTCTGTTTTCATCTTGTCATTACATAATAAGTTTTTAAATATTCTATTTTGCAGTGTATTCTCTGTTGTGTTAGCAGCATTATATAAGTTCCTGTAAAATTGGTTATTTAGGTAATTTAAATCAGAGCTGGGAATATTTGATGTACTTATAAATAAAACGCAAAAGAACATTTTTATGGGTCAAATTTTTTTTATCTTATAAGAAGTTGTGGTAATTACTATGCTACAAAGCTATGGTATCCTACCACATTCTAAAACATTAATTTTATATATTCGTTTTTTTCTAATCCTAAAAGTAATTAAAAAAATTGATTTTGCCAGAAAAGATGAATTTTTTAAAAAAATTTTAAATATAAAAAATTAAAACAAAAAGAGAGGTACGAAAGAATGAAAACAAAAACTTGAATCATACATTAACGAATAGTACTAAGAATAATAATAAATTTAAAATGAAAATTATTTTAGAACACAACTTTAAATTTTACTTCCTTCCGCAAGAATACTACAAAAACAATTTTATCTTTGTTTTTAAAATAGCGTTGTTGAATTATGTCAACCGCACAGTACAGAAATACATATTAAATGAAAATGCAGAAATTAGATTTTATATGAGAATCTAAGGTGAAATAAAGATAAAGTACAATTAACCAGATATAATTCTAATCATTACTAACTTATTATAATTATACGTAAATTAATATAAAATAAAAATCTTTTGCATTAATTTTATTAATGTAATAAATTGTTCTTTAGATGCTTTGTTATTAATTAAATTTGCTTTAATTTTAAAAACCAAGTTAACAATAAAAAATTTGTATATTAAATTAAGTTTTAGGCTTCCAAAACTGTTTTGAGAATAATTATTTATATTTTTTCTGTAAAAGAAAAAAATTTATTTTTGCTCGTGATTAGATTTTAAAATTAAAATATAAATATTTTTAAATAAAAGTTCTATGTTTGTAATGAAGATTAGTTTGAATTAATGGAAATAATTTTAATTTGTAACACATTTAGATGATTAAAAGAAAAGATGCAAAACTAGCTTTGTAATTTTTTAATAGTAAAGTATAACGGTGTAATCATTCCACAAATCTTTAGTATTGACTGACCTGTTAAATAAGAATATAGAGATATTATTAACCTTTTTTCATACTTAAAATAGTTTAAATCCCACATTTTCCTAAAAAACACGATTCTATGTCTCTCAATTATTAACAAATGCGTTAAGATCAAGATTAGTACTCCAAAGCAATTTTTTTAAAGTTATTCTTTTATACAACTGTGAAAGTTTTTAATCATAATTTTTAAAACTAAATATCCTGCAGGCTTTTAAGAATATCGTGTTGTCGCCAAAAATTATTAAAAATATCATAAACAATGTTACTATACAAACCACACTTATAATCTACAGATAAAAGTCAGCATAGATTATAAATCAAATTTCAATAACTTCTTTAATCATCTAAACATAATTAAATACAAGCACACAAAAGTTATACATGAATAAATTATGGGCTAAAGGACGTTTATGCATTAAAAAAAAAATTGCTTTTTTTTATTTTTAAATCCTAAAAATAAACTCTAAAATGTCGAATAAAAAGGACATAAAAAAGTTGAAAGTAATTTATGAAGTGTGTGCAGCAAGTGTTAAGAGCTTGTATGCATTACAAAAAGAAGGAATTGTCGGTTTTTGAGATGTAAAAAAAAATTTGTCAATTTTTTAAAAAACAAATGTCCGCCTAAAAAAACATTTTTTGAAAATTTGCATGTTTTTAAATATAAATTTATCAGAATTATTGAACTTTGCTTGGTTAAAAAAAAAGTGTATAGCTTATATATCGAGGATTAATTTAAAAACTGTTTACATGACATTTATAAAAATTTCTGGTATTTTAGTTAAAAATTTTTATAAAAATTTGTTTATATTAGAAATAAGGATGAAGTAATTGAAATTGATAAATCCTAGATGGGTAAACAAAAATACAACAAGCGCCATTCCATTGACGATGTTTGGATCTTAGGAATGGTGGAAAGGGACAACAAAAAGCGTGTTTTGCTATTTCAAGTAAATAATAGAACAAAGTCTTCTTTACAAATAAAAATTAAAAAATATGTTTAACAGGAAACAACCATCAATAGTGTTTGTTAAAAAAGTTATATTAATTTAGAAAAATGTAACCATATACATGAAGCAGTAAGCCATAGCAAATGGTTTATAGATTTAAATAGTGATGTTTATACAAATGCTATTGAAGCTACTTATTTTGCAATCAAGATATCCATACTTTACAGACGCAAAACAAAGAAGTTAATAAAGTTCTTTTTAGTAAGATATTGCTTATTTAAAATACAAAACAGCATCCCCTTTATAGCTATATAAAATTTTTATTTAATCAAAACCTAGAAAATTAAAATTTACCCTTTATTTGTTTTTTCTTCAAACTTAAAAAGTTCATTTTTTAGGGGTAAAAAAATTTCAAAAAACGACCCCATTTTTTGGCGCATAAACACCAAAGCTCCTAAACTATATTATATATTTAACTTTTAATCATTTAAAGAAGTAGCAATGTAGTAATTAAAAGGTTATCTGTTTTTTACATCTATTAAGGCTAAAAATTTTAAATGATTTTAATTATAAAGGTACGCTCTAATTGATAGATAATTATAAATTTATAAATGTTTGAACTTTTTATAAAGTCTTTTTTTTTAAAAATAACCTTGTTTAATTTTTTACTCTACTTTGAAGTTTGTTTCAAAAAAAAGGAATATTTTTTTTGCCTAAATTTTTTTTACAGATAAAGAATTTTTTGACAAATAATTATTGTTTTGATTCATTAAGACAACTTTGCACTACAACCTTTTTGAAGCTAGACCTTTAATTATTTTTTTTCTGTTTCAAAAAGAAGGAATATTATAATTTTTGGTTTAAACTTACAACTTTTCACACCAAAAATATATTTTTATACATTTTATAAAATTATCCCTGTATGCAATTGACTTTAAAAGGTAAAATTGAAATTATTTTGCTTTCCAACCAAAAAATGCCTCAGGTCAAAATCGTAAGAAAATTTAAAACTTCACAAAGTACAGTATCTAAGATTGTAAAAAGTATGAAAGAAAAAGGCACAGTTAAACGATCCAAAAGGTTTGGCAAGTAAAAGAAGTTATAAGCTAATGATGTTACAGCTTTACCTAAAATTAATAAAAAAACCTAAAACATCATTAATAAAAGTATCTATTAAACTGCAAGCGAAGACCAATCAAAAGGTTTCTTTTTCATCTATAAAAAAGCTACTTAATGATTATAATGTTAGAGCTTTTATTCCAATAAAAAAACCACTCCTCTCAAAAAAAAACATTTTGGCCCGGTTTGAGAAAAGTAGACAATTTTTACTATTATCAGATAATAAGATAAAGAAAATAATTTTTTCAAGTGAGAGTAAGTTCAAACTTTTTTGATCTGATGGTAAAGTTTCTGTGTGGCGTGAAGCCGATGCAGGCCTCAAAACAGCTAATTTGTCTGATACTGTAAAGCATGGTGGAGGGCAGTAATGGTATAAGGATGTTTTTTATACTTTAGTGTAGGAAAACTTGTTTTTATTGAAGGTAAAATGAATGTTGATTACTATGTAGTTTTTATTTAATAATCTACTTGGTTCAGCTAGATTAATGGGTCTGCAAAGTTACATTTTTCAACAAGACAATAATCCCAAGCATACTGCAAAGCTGTATTTCAAGTCGAAACAATTTAAACTCCTTTCTTAGCCTGCACAATCTTTAGATTTAAATCCAATTCAAACACTTTGGGCTATTATAAAGCAAAAATTATCACAATATCGCCCTAAGAATTTAAATAAATTGAAAAAAATAATAATACGTGAATGGCAGCAAATTCCATCACGATTGTACCAAAAATTGGTTTTAAGCTTTTATAAAAGATATTTAGCATGTTTTAGAACAAAAAGAAATTATACTAAGTATTAAAGCGATGCTCTAATGAGCTTAAGACTTTACCGTTGCCATCTGTTCCTTGCAAGCTTTTATAATAACTCATATTTTTGTTTAATAATTTATTAGATTTTTTTTCACAAAAGGTATGGGTTAAAATTTAAAATTTTTGTATTAAAATTTTTAAAAAAAGATAAACGTGTGATTGTAATACTACAGTATGTTTTAGTGAAAAAAAAATCATTTCTTTTTTTAACATTTTATTTAAATTTATCGTTTAATGTAAAACAAAAATAAAAAAGAACCAAATAAGCTGTAAAAACGTACATTAACAGATTTTACAACTTAAAAAATAATTTTTTACCATAACTTCGTTTACATAAAGCTCCGAAGAATATTTTTTTTTGAAACATACTGCAAATGAACCTTTTTTTACAAATGACAAAAATTCCGCCTTTTTTTTCTTATAAAAATGCTTGATTAAACTTAGATTCGAAAATCAAACTATCAAAAGTAAATTTAACAGACATTTAAGCATTAAAAAAGTTAGGTTTAACAAATTAATTTATTACCGTCAGGGGTTCCAAAGATTTATACATATCCACAATAAAGTCATTTGTATATCTAGATTCATCTGATAAACATTTAATCAATTGATATAATGTTTATTAAAATACAAGCCTAATCATTGCTTTTCAAATTACTTTGAACTAATTTGAATAACTTACTTAGTGAAAAAATTGTAAGCTATTTGATTTTGCAAATAAACAAAAAAATCAAACGTTTAAAAAAACTTAATACATTGAAGCATTGTTTGTACAGTGGTTATGTCTCGTCCTGATGATCAAGGGGTATGGATTTAAATCCTAGCAATACAAATTTACTAAGTAATAACCTAGCGTTGACACAACAATTGTCATGAAATATTTGTCGGTAAAGTCGTATTGTAAGCTTTTCTGTAGTCATCGACTAAGAGTTTTAAATGTTTTTTAAGATGTAGAGGAGGCATAACATCTTTGGGTCGGCACGACAATTGCCGTAGCTGTGGAAGCATTTGCAGGCCGTATTCGGAGACCTTTAGTAAGAAATTACATTTGAAAACCCTCCTGGGAAGGGAAGAAAGCTAATGAAGCTCTAGCATTTCGTGTGGGAAGGTGAGAGTCCATCACGGTCATTAGACCAATACTGCCTTATCCGACCACAAGTTCCAGTGAAACGCTGGCCTGGTAGCGTACTACCAGTTGTCGGCTCTCTCTATGGCCCTTACGGGAATTAATACATCTTTCTACTAAGCGAGGCCATTATGGCATGCTAGCGCTGTGTTCAGATTGAGGAAAGGGGGATTATTTAAGAAAAGGAGATTAAGCATAACAAAAAAATATAGCAAAATGCACAAAAGATTGGCTGAAAATTTAACAATAAAAGACTATGATGTATAGTCAATCGAAAAGTTGTGGAGGCTTAAATAAATCTGATAAACTGAAGTTTTTTACAATAAGAATTAATCAATACACAAAAAAATTATTATTATCATATAATACAATGAAAGCTAATAGATACATTTATGCCTCCAAATATAATGTTTTTCTTAAATCTAAATTTTTTTCTCTCATTCTTTGCCAAAAAGAATCAAAGAAACATGGAATGTAGCATTGATGACTTATGATAAATTCATAGTTAGCAAAATGTCATACAAAAAACTTAAATTTTAATATGCCAAATTTACATTTTTTTCTAAAAAGGATAAAAAAATAAAAAAATTTTAAAACCAAAAATCATCATTAAAATGTTAAATGTTTTTAGAAAATATTTAATCCCTGATGAACACCTCTCTTTTGACGAATCAATTTGTTCATTTAAAGGAAGAACATTAAAGAAAGTTTTTTTCAAAAAAAACCTACTAAATGGGGCGTTAAGTTTTATTTGATTGTGACTCTGAAACGTCATATTTGCTTGATTTTCAAATAGTTAGATAAACAGAAACTTTACATTCGATGGTTTTAAATATAGCATCATCATATTCAGATGCTTAACGGATATTACATATTATAATTTTTATAATTTAATAAAAACATCACATGATCTATATAAATTTAAAATTTACCCCAATAACACACCAAGATCAAACAGAGATGTACCACATAAGCCTATGCAAATTTTACCAGCTAAACATGACACCATAGAAAAAAACCAGATGATATCGTTAATTTTTTTATTTTTCATGATAGCAAGATAGTGAAATTTGTTTGTACAACCTAAAACAACAATGGCGTCATCATAAATAAAAAATATAATGTTTGGATAATAGAGAAAGAAAAAAGAATTCCTGAAGCAGCAGTGGGCTATAATGCTAATATTAAACGATACAGAGAAATTTAATCAATCTATTTTATCCATAAATTTACTAAGAAAGACTTAAATATAGGATCAGAAACATTCTATATACTTCTTAGAAGTAATTGTGCACACTACATATATTATTTGGAAGCCAAATAGTACTGCAAAAAAGTCTAAATATGATTTTTTGTCATCGACTGTAACACAGCTTCTTTGTTATGACAAAAAGGTTGAAAATAATACAGTACATTATTGTGTAAAAAGTAAATAAATCTAATCGATGTGTTAAATGTAACATAAATGAAATAAGATCAAAAATAAATCATTACCGTATAATATGCATTAAATTTTTGTATCCAAGACTTCGTTTTAGGAATTATCATGAAAATAATACTTGAATGAAAATTTTAATTTAAAATGATACGGCATATTAATTACAAAAAATCTGCATTTTTAAAAAATATCAGCACAAAAAAAAAATCTAGACAATTCAAACGTTTATTTTGCATAAAACAAAAATTAAATGTTAATTTATTTTTTAATCTTTGCGGAAAAATCTATCATTTGTCTTTTGTTGTGAAATTTTATTGCGGCAAAATCCGTCATTTAATTATTTAAACTCAATTTTTAAACAAAAAAAACCAATATTTTGCTATAAAGAGTTAAGATACAAAATTATTAAATGTACAAATAGTAAATCAATTCTAAATAATTTATTCACGTTGATTTTTGTCAAATAAATGCTACTTAGCTACATTTTTCTCAATCTCTACTTATGTAATAAGAAATGACTGTTTGTTGTACATAAAAAAAATTCTTTTAT